AAAATTAAAAAGAGTAAAAAGGATAAAGAGGTAACATGTCATACATTTTCTATTGGTTAAAAATGTTGGTTTACTGGTATATAGGTCATTTGGTTGTAGCATCAAATATTTTAAAATCAATAAGAGCAAAAATAAGGGCATGATTAAACAGAGAAAGGGCCAACTATTTCCAGCATGCCCCATCCAGGCATGGTTCTGAGCATGTATGGGGCCGCACCCTAAAAATCCTAATGCACTCTGCAAAATAAAAGTGCTATGTAAATATTAATCCAAGTTTGCTCTGTACCTTATTCCGGATGTGAACACACTGCCAGTACAGATACACAGCACCACTGTGATGGTCTTCTGAACCTTGTTGAATTGGCTAGTTGTATCGTTTCACACACACGGAAATGCATTTCTGTAAATACCAGTTGTTCCATGTGACTTCCGCTAGATCACGGCTGTAGCTCTCATCATAATGTATTCCATCTAGTGCATTAGTCGCTGAATGCCCGTCAGTGTAGAAGCAAAATGCAAGCACCCAAAAATACAGTACATACTTTCAGGACAGCCAGAGTAGCCCCATTTCCTGACATTGCATCACCATGTCGCTCCACCCAAAGACCTGCAGCAGGGAGGCCATCAAGTGTACAGTCGTGTGTGTGCAGCCACATGATTTGGGACCCTGGGCCTTTGCACTGCGTGTGTAGATTTCTTTGGGCTGAGTCGCATCGTGTCATGACAGGAGGTAGAACTAAGCGTGGCCCCATTCCTCCTCATGTGGTGAGTTTCAGTGACATCCAAATAGACGCTGCATAAATCTCACCCATTTATTCCATCACGGAGAACAACCAAAGCGTGGAATGGTTGCTGAACCACCCCCCCACCACCACCACCGGCAGGGAACACACAGGAAAAGCGTACAGTGTTAGCTCGACAGATTACAGTCACTGCCCAGGGGGCTGTGGAGGTGGCGATCAGGGTGGGGGGAGGGGTGCTGTGTGCCAAACTGCTCCTGAACTACCGCAGTGGTCCAAGCAGTCCGTAACTGCTGAAGGTGGGGCCCCTCACCTTCCTATCGCTGCAGTGGTTAAGGGCTGGGGCTGCCTGTTGTCCAGTACTATATAGTTTTTTTTAAAAAAATAAGGATTTATATTAATCATGATATAGTTTATGGTTTAACTTTTGTGATCTGCCCAGAGAGCTTTGGCTATGAGCAAGTATGAAAATGCACTAAATAAAATAACATATTGCACAACAGGAGCAAGCCAGTGGGGGAAGAAAAAGCTGCTTTATTCCCACTCCTGAACTACCCTACCCCCAAGAGGCTTGAATAGCTCTGCAACACTCCTGCTCCAGGCAACTGAACAATAGCTCTCCTCTTAGGGAAAGGGATACACTGCAACACTGTGTTTAAATTCTCACCTGTAATGTATAACATTTGCAGAAATTTCTTGTCTTCTTTTTGCTTGCCTAAACATGTTCACAAGTGTGAATGTCTAGACAATGCAACAGCTGCTGGAAAAACAGACATTGGGTTACGCTTCATGCCCTTCTTTTGGCATTTGAAGATGGTCATTGCCATTAAGGATCTTTTAGAGAGATTGTTCATGCATTGCTTGCCTAGTATTGCAGGCATGTGCAGTCTTGGTAGTCTGTCCACTTGAACTAAGCAGGTTCTGACTCAGGATGTGTGGGATCAGGCTGCATGACTGCAAAGCTGTATAAATAGATCTAAGAAGGGCTTGTATCTTTGAAAATGTAGGCTGCCAAAGAGATTTTTAATACTTCAAACTGCCTACAGAAAATGGATATCAAATAAGCTTAATGACTTTTTTTTCCTTTCCAGCGAGATCGAAACCGTGCTGAACTTCTTGATTTCTTGAACTCTGCTTTGTAGTGAAAGGGCTGCTAAGCAAGGACCAATAAATCTGTCAACCTTTGTGGTTATCGTGTGCTCCTGAAAGCACCAAATAGAAGCTTAGAGCAAGAGGGGTGAAAGTACACATCACGTGATGAGCTGAAGCTGTCCTGCTGTGAAGATAATTGATACCTCCTTTACAACAGGCAAAGAACTGACAACTTGCCAACAAAGAGCCATGTTATTGTTTCTGTGACACTAGCAGAAGTAGGGAGAATGCTTAAAAATGCTCCAAAGTGAGATGGTGATTGAATTTAGGCCTACTATGAATATCCCAAACTGCATGCAGAATACAACATCAGTTGTCCTTTGTCATTGATGTTAAAGCTGAATACTTTGAAAATAAGTTCGTTAGAAAGAAGCATCCCTATGTATATAGATATTTTTAGTACTGAGGATATTTGTTTGTAAACATCTTTCTTAGTAGTGTGTATACTAGCTACATTAATACAGTAGTACCTTCAAAAATATTATTTCTTCAATGTAATGTGTTTTTCTTTCTCTGTTGATGACACCCTAATGGCAGTTTAATAACTTGATGCTAGGCATTTACTTAAAGACCAGAATAATATACCCATCACTTGAACATTCTGAGACTAGCTTGCCTTGTTGGTGTTTACTTTTCTGCATTGATTCCCACAACTTGCTTGTTTGTATAACTGTCATTAATCAGTGTTCTAGCCTTTCCTTCATTGGAGGTATGTACACACTATGACAATTCCAGTGGGCCTTCAACTTCAGTAGAGGTTAGCAGTTTCTCAAACAGACCTCTGCTTAGAGGACTGGTCATGTTACATGACCTCACAATGTATAGACTTCTATTTTGAAAGAAAATCCAAATAAAACCTGTTGCCTCTGAATTTGATCTACATTGTGTTTAGTAAATTTTGCACACAGCCCAAAAGTAGAGTCTTAGAAGTATCAAGTTATAAGTAAAGCAGAGCAACATGACAAATGATGTCAAGTTTACTGCAAAATGCAGTTTTCTGTTTTCTCCCACAAAGCATTTAACTTTAACAAGATAACTGTTCAGTGTAATCATGTCCTTTGTTCCCCCTTTGCACTCAACATTCTTGGCCATTTTTTGGGGAGAGGGAGACAAGCATGATATGGCACTGTAACATCAGTATTATGGGAAGAGTACAGGAAAGGGAATGCCCTTTCTGCTAGCAACCCTGTGACCTTTGCCACAATTGAAAAAATGTTATTGCTCTTCCACGTGCATTATCACAGTCTCTAGTGTGACTCTGCTACTGCTCAACCCAACCTCGGGACAGTGCAGCACTTGTTAAATGTCACCTCTGCTTTTCAGCTCCAGTATATTTCATGCACAATGCCAATGGCATGTGCCTATAAGCTGCAGAATTTCAGTTTCCATTTGGTGAAATTATTTAAGTAACAGCAGAGGGCACCCTGTCTCTCTGTAGACTTATGCAGCATTGCCATTTACAATATACAGATGCAGTGAAAAATGAAGTGTTCAGTTTGACTCACCTTATGTTGCCCAGTGAACTATGTGCTGTACTGGGAAATGATACTTAATATTGTATATGCCTTAATGAAATTTCTGTTGAGTTCATTTATGTAAGTCCATCCCTTATTTTTAACTGAACACAAATTTGCCTGTGTTTTTGCCACTCTTTCCTGGCTTATCTGAAGAGATTCTTCACAGGCAGGATTCAAGGCAGTTTCAGTATGGCTGAGGCAAAATCCAACATCACATAAACTTCAGTTCCTCTTTTCTTTGTACCCTCACCTCAAAATCTGTATGGAGAGACACTATCTTCCCTGTTCTGCCAAAAGTCCTGTTTCCACCCAGCTATATACCACCTGGGGGTAAAATTGAGTTTGAAATTTCTACTACATAAGTCTTTTTGTCTTGACAGAACATAAATTGGGCCATTTTTTTATTGTTCCTTTCCTGAAACTTCTTGGGGTCATGTGATATGCCAATTACGTTCATGAACAAAACCCTACCTAGTTTGATGTTATACCTCCATCTGGCAATGAGTATTTGCTATCAATAGATGTTGTTAGAAAACGGGGCACATGCTGTGAGCCTGAAGTGGTCAAAAGGTAGATCACTGTGTGATTTGCTGTACAACAACTAGGTTGTGCTCCCAATTGCCAACAATAGCAAAAGCATCTCCTTGGCCGTTAAATTAGGTCACTGAAAAACGCTTGTGGGGAAGCCATGAGTAAATGCTTGTTTAGCAACTGGTTAGCTTGGTTCTGATACTGAACAAATCTCTGGGCTGAGAAATACCCATTTTACTTAATTTGTAGCATGTGTGCTCCCACCTGAGTCATTATGTTGTATCTGGGTCTAGTTGACAGATCTTATGGTCTTGCTTAAAACAAAACAAAACACAACATCCTGTAAGCATGGAGTCTGCCCACTCTTACTAAAAGCAAAGCATGGAGTTGCATGCCTTTGTGAATTTGCGCTGTAGATTACAAGGGAGTAAACACTTTGTTTATAACTATGCGCACTAGACATAGCAGTAGACAATTTTATGCATGCAAAAGATTGTGCTTTACACTTGAAGGGATTTGGCGTATTCTCAGTTCACTATAAAGGCAATTTCTTGCTAGGACCCAGTGGCTAGTCAGGACACTATTATTATCGAAGCTAACTTTATGTGGATTTGGTCAGCAACTGAGATAGGAGACAAGGAGGCACCCCATGCAACAGCAGGATATACAAATAATCTTTGTTATGTTTTGTACATGTAGATTTGCTTTATCTGTATATGGAAACAATGTATTGTAAGAAAACTTTGGTCCTAGAATAGAAACCGATTGAGCAATGGCGTATTATGCTGAAATGACAAAAAGAAACAGTTCTTTCAGCATTAGTTCAGAATGGTTTTGGAGAATGAATGGCCTATGCATCAATTCATGGATGCTTCATTTTGATATTTCAGTCTAGCATCACTGTTAACCAAACCATACACACCACATCTGGTTCTGACCACAAAGTCAAATTCCTCATTACTGCACTGTAGCTTGATTTGCAAAGATAGGTATTCCCTCTCCCTTCAGTTAACTGTGGGTTCAAACATGGAGAAGGAAGCTTATTGACCTCAACTATTTCCTTGTGTACACAGAATGGCTTGGCCATTGTATGAAACACAACTATTTCTATAAGGCTATAAGCAATGGGATGGCATACAAAAACTCTACATAAATATTAGAGTTCATGTCCCAAGTTTGTCAGCTTTTCAAGCTAAGTAATTGTAGTGTTTTGTACAATTGGGGTACCCAGTTCAAGCTTAATTTTCATATTCCTTCCCCCATTAGTGCAGTCCAAGCAGCCTCACAATGCTAAATTAACATATTTCAGTGATTAATGCCTATCGTTGTTTGGCTTTTCTATACTCATACACGCATGTACAAGCTCACAGTGATCACTGTATTTATTGAATGAAAGATCCATTATGCCATTTGAACCAAAGAAAACAACATCCAGGTATTTGCACGGTCCTTTGTGTAAAGTGGTCTTTCCCAATCCCTGTCATTCCCAGACAGCAAGATCACTGGTCATGCTGGCTGTGGATGGTGGGGGTTGTAACCCAACAGCCACAGATTAAGGTTGACATAAAGCTTAAAATGGGTACAACCCATACATAGGAAGCAACTGCTCAGGCAGTAATTACTCAGTGCATATTATGAATTTCAAACAACATTAGGCACAATAAAGAGAAGTGGGTGGAACTGCTTTGTTTCCACCACTGGTTATTCCAGTCCTTTGCTCCCTGGTAACTCATTTTCCTTCCTGACAACTTTGCTTAAGTGATTTCAATGAGAGACCACCTTAACCTTTTCAAAAATCTCTTTTTGCTAAGGTGAATTGTAAATCATATTTCAAAAATATAATAATATCTGTTGATCAGCCCATGTATGTGATTGCTAGCACTTCCAAGTAATTTTAAAAATAGGCAACCCTTCCTTTTGCAGAAGCCACGATTCTTCCTTAGCAGCCTTGCTGCTTTCATGAGTTTCTAAGTGTAATTTAAAAAAAAATTAAAATCTACTTTCTATAAATAGCTTTAATAGTTTTCTTCCAATCTGGACTTGTAATTTCCTGGATTCTCCTTCCTTCTCTTCCTCTCCTTTAAAAACTGTACTTGCTAATTTTCCTTTTGGTTCAGCAATTGAAGTTCAATTCTATGTATGTTTATTCAGAAGTAAGTCACATCAAGTAAAATGGAATATGATTAAGCCTTGGGTGCATTATACATCCCTTTGTACATTTGATTACACTCTTGAAGGTGGGAGTGCCCAGCTCCTGCATCTATTGTAACAAAATAAATTGTATTTAAATTACAAAAAAACCTCTCATAATCAGCTTTCAAATTTACAAATTTAGCAATGCCAGAAGTAACTGTTGCTAACTAATGGAGTTGGCATATAAATCAATCACAAGACAAAAGGGCAGCTAAAATGAAAGAATGTATTTCAGAGCTTAGTACAGCAAACGTGTTCGTTCACAGGAGACAAACAATGGCCATAGGACTTAGTAGAAAGTGGCTTTTCATGCTTTTCCATCAGTTTTCTCTATGATCCAGGCCATAACACAGAGAAATGCACAGGTATATACAGCATAAATCAGAGCAAGATGGAAGTTCAACGTGAAACTTTAGCTTTAAAAAATATCCTGTCAAATATAGATCACCACAGTCTGAGGAATCCGAGGCCTTCCTTGCACCCCTTCCCAGGAATGAAACTCACTGTGGCTGAGAAGAAGGTGGGAGGGGAGAAGCAGTATCAGGAGCTGATACTATTAGCCCTTTAATCCATATTTTTATCTTTAGTTTCTTATTTAATGTTGGGAGAACTACATGCAAATGCTGTAAACCAATGATAATTCATAGATAGCAGAACATGGCTTAAAATTCTATGATTGTCAAAATATTTTGGGATTTCTTTCTCTGCTCCTGAGTTTAAATGTTCCAGCTCAATCTGGATCAGATATTTTGAAGCACTGTGTTTGTTTGGTATTGAACAATGCAGTCTGCTGTTGCATTAGGGACTGTGTGAGGGAAAATTTTTCAGTGCATCCAAACGGCTCCAGTTTGCTTGCCTGCACGAAGTCCAATGGTATCAAAATCACCTCAGGGACATTCTTTGCAGCAGCCTGAAAAGAAAAGGAATTGGATACTGCTCTCTTGTAACTCTGAGCATCCCACTCACCTCTGTGGGTCAGTCTGGAAGCCTACACACAAATCAGAAATCTATTCTCTCAAATACTGACAACAGTCAATAGCCAAACTTCATTTTCAGTGGAAAACAGCCACATGAAACATTGTTTAGACATCTAACCCAAAGTCATCCATTGAGCCTTTGCACAGAATACTGTGACATGAGATAATCCACATTAAGTCTGGTCCTCTAATATTAATCCTCCTCTTATATTGAAGTGTTTGGATTCACTGTGTCTTTTGTGAACTGAGAGAGTGAGCAGTTCCGAACATAATGTTAAGCCACAGTGCCTTGTTGGCTGAACAACTCACGGTCCTTCTGGCAGACAACTAGGCCCAGCATGCCTTGCTCTCCCATTCTTTCCTCCTCAGTCCTTCAGCTGGCTCTGGCAACCTGTCTTGCCTTCCCTGTTCCACTATGATTGCCACTCCTTTTTATCCTCTCTCTCCCCCTGCCCCCACTCCCCTCTGTCTGTCTTTCTGTCTTTCCTTCTGGAGCCTCAAAGTATGGAAATTTGGTTAGCTTTTTTTATTATTTCTACTGGTCTTTTGCAAGTGCAAAAGTGTGCATGTATGGCTGTCTCGTGTATGGACGTCTTGCTGGGCCAATTGCCTTGTCTGTTTCAGCTATCAAAAGGGGCCATGAAGTGGAGCAG